CAGGGGCGTAGGAAGCACCTGGAGTTTGGGGGGGCACCGGCTTGTAGGGGCACATTACTATCGGAAAGGGCACCTAAAAAATTTTTCCCGGAAATGTTGTCGACGGGGGGGAGGGGAGAGAAATTTCTCCTGAAGAAAATTTTCCGTCGTATCATACCGAAATTTATGTTTGTGACCTAATTTTTAAAAAAATTTTGTAAATTTCCACACAAAAACGGCACCTATTGTTTTAATTTAGTATTTACAGCGACATTAGCTTCTACAAAAGGGGCACTTTTCCTCACAAAAAAGGGCACTTTTCAACACAAAAAGGGCACTTTTTATCACAAAAAAGGGCACTTTTAGTCCTTTAAAAAAATTTGGGGGGGGGCACGTGCCCCCCCGCTTCCTACGCCCCTGTGTATAAGCAACTTGCTGCTTCGCGGCCTTCGCCATCTTGCTCTTCGTAATGTTCGTATACTAACGCCAAACAAGCTTAACCTTACTAACCATATCGAAGATCTATTTGTATAAATTGTAAATATTTACTAAATTGTAATTGTATTCATTAATAATTTTTTTCTAATATGCAAATAGTCGTAACCCCTAATACTTTTTATGCCTGTAAATATCGAAATAGTGCGAGGGCCGTATGTTAGATAACTTGTATGGTTAATATACGTTTTTCCCCTTGTGAAATAAAGTTTCTATTCTATCCTATTCTATACAGAAGACTCTCACTCCCTCGCTGTAAATAGTCTATATATACTCAACGTAACGTTTAGAACTTCTCTCTTTCTACATTGTGTATTTGTATGATCGAACACACGAATTAGTTCTATTCAAGTTGCGCGCACAGTTCATATGAACAAATAAAATTCTACCGTTTTGGCATATTTGCGACTAGAGTGGACAAGTTATCGAGAATTCGTTTCGTTTCTTTTATACATTTGTTGGCTCTTAAAAGAGCCGGATTTTTATATGAAGGTTAAGAAACCTTTTTACTTGCTGCTTGTGTACTTGGTCACGGCTTTCGTTCCTTCGCTGACAGCGTGCTTGGCCAATTCTCCAGGCAAGAGTAGACGAACAGCGGTTTGGATTTCCCGAGAAGAGATGGTCGATTTCTTGTTGTAGTGAGCCAAACGAGAAGCTTCACCAGCAATTCGCTCGAAGATATCGTTGACGAATGAGTTCATGATGCCCATAGCCTTGCTGGAGATACCAGTATCGGGGTGGACTTGCTTCAGAACTTTGTAGATGTAAATAGCATAGCTTTCTTTACGTTTGCTTCGACGCTTCTTGTCACCACCAACTCCAGCTTTCTTGCCAGCTTTCTTACCGCCTTTTGACGCAACACCAGGTTTGACAGGCATTTTCTTTTCAAATTTTGTTTTTCTTCGCTGTTGAGAACTAAATCACAAATTCACAATGTTGAGACTTGAGAGTTGAGATGTTGAAACTCGAAACGCGTCCCTTTTATAGTAAACTCGGTGGATAAGATATTCAAGTGGGATCACAGATGCCCATTTTTGATTGGTTCGTATTGGGTCGGACGTCTGGGGAGAAACCTGTTACATTACGCCCCCGCTGTCAGTGGGATCATTTCTGGGCTCTCCGGCTCCGCAGAGGCGATTGGAATAGGCTTACATGAATCTTACATGAAGTTTCGCCTAAACCGTAAACTTTTTCGGGAGAAAATGAATTTGAATATTACATTTTCAATGTTTTTCTTATTGCAGCGAAATGTATTTTATTAAATAACTCTGCGAGTTTTCAATATTTTTCGTTCAAACTTGGTCAGATAGTAGAACTAGTCTAATGCTTTCATGGAAACCAATAAAAAAATTTTAGGCAAAATTAACACCCAAAGGTGTTCTGTAACCTTAAAGCTCAACATTGAAAAACAGTTTTAAAACTATCAAGTATGACCACTGTACCTATAGTAAAACTGAGTAAAGAAAATTTACATGCTTGCAGGCCGAATCATTGTCCTTCTTCAATACTCGTCCAGGTTTGTTTTACCGGTCTAAAATAAATTTTCGTTTCGATTACCAGAAAGCACGCGGTCACGGCTAGGCATGTATAAGTCGCCTTTCACGATACAAAAATCCGTCATTTTACAATATATTTCGGAACACCGGCCTGGGCCACTCATTCCTTTACTCATTTGTCTGATTTTTTTGAATAATTGACAATTTTGGTAAATTACGTGTCTACTACAATGTTTTGCAGGAATGTTCTGTGTGGTAAACTATGGTGTATTGGTAATACAATACAATAAGACCAAAAGATCATGGCTATAAGTTACTATTATTGGACTACTGCTAGTGTAAGCAATAGAAGAGCCACTTGTTGGTTAGTTAAAAAATTTTCCACACCTTTATAATCGTAAATTCATGTTCTTCATTAGGAATAGACCTTTCCCCTTATAACCAAAATTTTGATCTAGGCAAATCTAGACAAATATTTCATCACAGCTTGAAAGAGCATCACAAAATTAGTAATATTCCAAAGTTTCGTTGCGAAATGTTGTAAAATGAGGAAAATATAGCCTTGCGAAGTTTGCAATTTTCAGTCATTTTGCATTACAAACGGGAAATTGCAGCCCCAACACCCGAATCGGATGTCAATTTCCCGTTTGTAATGCAAAATGACTGAAAAACGGCAAACTGCGCAATACTATATTATCCGCATTTTACAAGATTTTGCAACAAAACTTTGGAATATTACTAATTTTGAGATGCTCTTTCAAGCTGTGATGAAATTTTTGTCTAGATCAATACCATTTTAAGGGTCAAAAATTTTTTCCGGACATACCAATTTTTTCTGGACATACAAAATTTTTCCGAAACCTAACAAAATTTTTCGAAAAATCACAAAATTAACCACAAAATTTACAGAATTTGTCCCATGATTACAATTGGTTTCCACGTCCTTTATCTCAATTTTTAATACCAAATTTCGGAGGGCACTTCGCTCCCCACCGGAGTGAGGGGGTATTGTCCCCCCCCCCCCTCAGCTACGGGCCTGAGTGAAATGTATCTCATATTCTCATCGTATTATTAAATCCTAAGAAAACTACAACCTCGTTCCCAGGCTCTTCCCTCTTACTAAAGCCCAGTGCTAAAGCCTCTGCGGAGGAGAGAGGATAAATGCAATGTTTCCCGCCGGGCAACAAGTGAAAAATTGTTGCCCGCCCCGACCGGCCACGTACATAAATAAACAAAATGGCGGCACAACTACGATAATTAGAAACTATAACGCTTTTCCAAGTTTGTGTTGAAATAAAGAATGTAAAAGGGAAGAAAAATACAGAACAGGAAACAGGATATGCTGCCGAAACCGTTTAAGTAGGTTCTTTAATTTTAAACTCGTTTACTCTATAGAGTTTTTGCTACGAAAAACAATTGTTGTTATGTTGTATATGAATGTTGTTGAAGTTGATTTTTGTTCGTCGCTATATAACAAAACACTTAATGTCTGTTATGGTTGGCGATTTGTTTCAAAATTCAACAGAAAATATTTGTTCAACTTCAACAAATTTATTCATATTCAAGAAAAATATTCATATTCAACATAAATATTCATTCAACTTCAACAAAAATATTCATTCATATTCAACATAAATATTCATTCATATTCAACATAAATATTCATTCAACTTCAACAAAAATATTCATTCAACTTCAACAAAAATATTCATTCAACTTCAATAAAAATATTCATTCAACTTCAAAAAAAAATATTCATTCATATTCAACATAAATATTCATTCAACTTCAACAAAAATATTCATTCATATTCAACATAAATATTCATTCAACTTCAACAAATATATTCATTCATATTCAACATAAATATTCATTCAACTTCAACATAAATATTCATTCATATTCAACAAAAATATTCATTCAACTTCAACATAAATATTCATTCAACAGAAATATTATTTTGTATTCAAGCTCAAAAAATATATATTCAAGGTTCGGCCTGCTTAGAGGGCCTGCTCGCGGGCACGTTGACGAGAGGATCACACACTGGGATCACACGAGAAGCCGTGCGTGTGCGTGGACACGTGGTTAGAGAAATTTAAATATGGCGTCTTTACCAGGTGAGCGGGAAACAACTGACTCGGATCACAGGCGCCCCAATCTCTGAACGTCCTATATATTTTGAATATTTAACCGTTATAATATTTTAAAATAACAAAATAATTCAAAAAATATTAACAATATACGTAAAAAATATATCTCACTTGTTAATAGAATCCATTTGTTGTGTTTCTGAGTCTAGTTGATCATGATGCGATTGCTTTATGTTTTCGTCGTACTTGAACGGTCGTAAGTACTATGGCACTGGACGACATGGCCGTATAGGACATAAATAACTACAAGGCTAGCCATTTATCTGATATACTCTCCGACATCGAGTCCAATATCTCGCCTCAGAATCGTC